CCCACAGAGGGAGCTGCTCAAGGCTCAACCTCGTCAAGACCTTCACCATGGCCTCGTGCATGGATTTCTTTGGGTCCTTCATCAAGAATTGCTTAAACCATTTGGCCTTAATTGGCCTATCCTGGTCGAGTCTCTTCAGCCCTGCCACGCCCACTCGGTGCGCACCACACTTGGTGGCAACCAAGTTCACCTCCTCGAGAGCTGCCGCCATTCCGCCTGTGGACATCATTCTGTACATAAAGGCGATACACCACTGGTGGAGCTCCTCCTTGGAGATATGCAGGCCGGCAAACGACTTCATCTTCTCATTGAGCTCATCGTATTGCCTGCACCTCGACAATCTCTGCTTCCTTGGCCTTAACTTGGCGAACCTTCTCCTCGAGGGTAACCACCGCGAACAACGCCTCGTCCCTTCCTGCCCTTGCTGCTGCCAGGTCCTCTCGAAGTTTCCTCAGCTGCACTAAGTAGGCCATCGAGGCTGCACTCATCTGAGCCAACACAACATATTAGAGACACATGGACATCCGCGACGCATTTACGACATAATTTGAAAAAATTGCTTACCAGCCGCAAGCTGTCAGTCTCATTCAGTTGGGCAGCGAATTCCTCGAGAATAGGACACTCGATCGAAGGAGGGTTGCTGAAGGTATGAACTGCCACAGTCGGGCCTCCCTCGAACTGTTGGGGGGGCAAGACTATGGCCTCTCCCTCGAGAGGGCCCTTTCCTTTCCCTACCCCGGGAGGAACTATGCTTGGCCCTGTTTCCGGCACAGTTTTCTGCACGGACTCAGCAGCAACGGGCACCGTCTCGACGCTTGGTTGGGCAGTTTCCTTCGGGGGCACATCCGTCTTGGCCTTTTTGCCCTGTCACCCACCTTCACGATCCTTTTCTTCTTCTTCTTCTGGGGGGCGACAGTAACGGTAACGTCCTCATCTGAATTCACAATGACAAAAGGATCTTCGTCACCAAACAATCAAGACCCAGCATTGCTCGACGACATGACCTAACAACAAAGAAAAAAAAGAAGAAAACGATTAGTACCTTGATCAGAGATTTCGAGGGAAATTCTGGTTGCTTCCTCGATGATGACCGTATCACCTTCCTTCACATATGCAGGGGGCACATAGTATTGGACGTCATTCCACACTCTTCATCCTCTTGGGTCCATTCATCTTTTATGGCCCCAAGGCCCTCTGTCTCACGGAAATTCCATGGCAGACAGTAACTTGCAGGCGCCTTTACAAACACAAAATCCAGTTTCCATTCCAGAGAACCGCCGTACGCCTCGACCATTTTCTTCACGCCAGCTCTAAGGCGTCTTTCAACTATATACCAATCTTGGAAAGAAGTCAAGGCCACAACTACTTGGAAAAAGTACCTCCATAGTATCAATCGAGGTACCACCTTTACATATTGGCACACTCTAGCAAACCCCAGTACAAATGTAATTAAATTTGGGGTAAAACGAGCGAGAGGAGTCCTATAATGTTGAACAATCTCCTCAAACAGGGGGTAAATGGGAAATCTAAGCCCTAGATGCATAAATCGATCACACACAGTAATTCTTCCCCTTGGAGGAGAGTTGGCCCTCTCGTTTCCTAACGGAGCCCTCGCTTGTAAGGCGGAGGGGAAGTCATACTTGGATCTGAGATATTCTACCTTATCCACCGAGTCTATGGTGGAAACAAAGTCTATAACAGTTTTCCCTTCGGAATCCCTAACCATAATTCTGCGAAAAATCTACTCTGGTTACAGTCGAAAAGGAAACGGAACGAATCGGAAATTCAGATCTGGAAACTTACTGTGTAAGAGGGACGTGACCACGCGTCCTTCGAATTATAACTCCCCAGTGCTGTCTAGAAGCCTCAATTCGGAGCTCCCCTGGAAACAGCGTCGCCGGGACAGTATATCAGGTAAAATTATGAAAATTCCGGCCGGGAAAGAACTTCGGACGCTCTGGAAAGGAAGCGGAATGGGGGCTGAAATGCTTTTTGCAAAGGAGAAGATTTTTGTGCTTTTTGCAGAGAAAAGAAGTGATTAAGTGTTCGGGAATAGTAGAAATTTTTCTCTTTTAAACGCAAAGTTGATTCTCCCACGTCTCCTTAATCATGGGCCACGATCTGACAGTTATTGCGGGTTTCAAGGAAGTAATGATGTTGAGGCCGCCGTTTGGGGAACGTGCCCGCTAATGACGCACAATTGAAGATTTGAGCGGGATTGGGGAAGCGGGTCGCCTTCCCGGGTCACGGCCCGACCCGCCGATTCCTCTTGATCCTCCGAGGTCGAGGTGGCGTGTCAGCACCGAGCTTGTTAGGCATATGCCTCGACAATTAGCTGAACGAGGGCGATCTGTCCACCCTCGGGCATGTCTCAGGTAATGCTCATTTTATGCCAAGCGTTGTTTTGTTTTACGTCACTAACACTTGGCAAGGGCACTTGACAAGTCCAGATCCATGACTGAGATTGTACCGGCCCACTCACCGCAAGAAGAATCCAACTGGGACTCTTAGGACGGTGTGAATCCCTAAAACCTAGTAGGATTCAGAATGGTCCAAGTAATCTCATACTTGTAAATAGGGTAGCTCATACCGTAATTCAGGTACGCAATCTATAAGCCAAACATATTACCTCCCAAAACTTTCTAGCAATCCCGCTTACTGACTTAAGCATCGGAGTGTCTACCCTTGGGAGACCCCGAGACTCTGTTTTGCAGGAAACCCTAACCGGAGTTTCACCGTTAAACCAGCGGCGCATATCCGTGCATCGTCAATATGCCATTGCTTTCGATTGAAATAGGGATAATGCTTGCACTGTAACTGCTTTCATTTGCATAATCATATTGGTCGGAAAGACAATCTTCCACACTCCAACTGTCTTCCCTGTGATTGGACGAAAGGATCCATGGAAAGAAATAATAGCATGATCATCCACTTCCTCTGCCCTATGTGTTGTGTCGGATTGGGTGCTCTTTCTCTGACTCTGTCTACGAGTACTATGCACCAGTGTACCCAAACTCCCTTCACCAACGTATTAAAGCATGCATTGTTGTTTCCACCACCTGACCCTCAACATGCACAAATATCACTCTTTCTTGCTCTTTTTTTTGACACAAACCTACCATAATATTATTTCATTTGTCTCCAAATACATTTGGATTTTTTATTTTTAGTATAATTTACGAAAAATGAAATCCAAATAAGACAATCACTTTGGTATTATTACTTCTATTTATCTTTTAACAAAACAAAATAAAGAAAAAAATTATCACACTTGTAACCTTTTTCTTAACCTTCATCGAATGATGCATACTTAAGATTATAGTGACTAAAATTCCTATTTATTATCAAAAAGTTCATAATAAATCACACATCTGAAAAACAGACCTCTATTATGTTTAGACATTTAGAGAATGCATTTCATCATATCCTATAAAATCATAAAACGTACTCCCTCCGTCCCATAATTATTGTCCACTTTGACAAAAAAATTTTGTCCCAAAATTATTGTCCAATTTGACTTTTTATGGATCAAGTTACACATTTGTCCTTAGTAAAAAACATTATCCATAAAATCTTAATGGTTAAACAATTACTTATGTAGGGGTATATCCGGTTGTTTAAGGTAAAATATAATTAAGTTTGACCAAAAATAAAATCTTTCATTTTAGTAAAACTGGACATAATTATGGGACGGAGGGAGTATTCAACATGGCCTAATTATATACCAGAAAATAAATTGTTTTTTTTCCCTGGAATATGAAAAAGTACATTTCACTCCATGCATTTCTGGTTGTGTAAATATGTCGAGAGGGTAGTTATTCTCTCAGTCAATAAAGCTACCTTCCTCTCTGCATCTCTAATAACACCGCTGCATGGCTGACGGGCTCTATTAAAAACAAACACAGCTTCTTTCATTTACTCAACATTTTTTTAAAAAAATTAGCCCTTTCCATATTAAGCTAACAGAACAGAGCACTTTCACTTTATTTTTCAAACATGCAGTACTACTCTGAGCTCAGTCCTGGTTCTTCTCAGTTTATCACACAATTTCTTCATGTCAGTACGGGAACTTCTAGGTTATGAAAAGTTGTCCTGAATTTATTACCCTTCTTTCTTTCATTTTGTGATTTGCTTATTAATTGTTTACGCTTTGAATTCAGTTGGAACTTTTTTTATGAGAGAGAAAAAACAGAGCAAACAGAGCAAGCAAACCTTTGGGTTTCCTTGGAGTTGTGTTTTTTCTGGGTTCTTGTGGGGAAAGCTCTTTGCCCAGGCAAAACAAAGCTCTAAACTTTCAGTTGTTTGAAAGAAAATTTCATAACATTTTGATCAGGAACTAAGAGAACTAGATTAAATTTTTTTTCCCTGTTCGATTCAGACGGTTTTGTCTTTCCATTTGAAGAAGTTTTTTTTATTTTTATTTTTAATGCTTGTTCTCATGGATGGATTCCTTTTGGGATGATCAAGATTGCTTCAACTCTCTGTACCTCGAAAGGGTTATTTTTTCTAGGACTCCGACTTAACATTTCTCAAACATACTTGAAATTCCCTGCTGTTCTTGCTTTTTTCTTTGGTCTGAAAAATAACTGAAGAATGTATTTCACGTTGTAATGTATTTACAATTACTTTTATCTGTCCTTGGTGAATCGAAATACTCAGCCCAACATCCATTTTCGTTTCTGTTTACCTCCAATGACAGCATCTCATGTAATCTAATTGTTTGGCAGCATTTCTCCATGAGTTACATAACACATAGGAATGAAGTGGAAGGATAAAAATCAAGATGAACTTAAGAAGAGAATGAATAATATTGATTCCAATCCACCTAGTGTTTCCAGAAGATTGACTATCTTTTACCCTTTTTATATCTGAGCACAGTCATATTCAAGCTCTGCTATATGGATGGTGAGATTTAACATTCAAATGTAATTGTTTCGTGAGCATCATTTCGCCTACCTGGCTTAGTTTGATGGTTTGTGGAATGTGATAAAGATGATGAAATTGGTGGTAAAATTGATTTGGTAAAGATATGGTTGAATGTCCCTCTTAAATGTCCTTTTTACAGATATGTTTCCTTTCTGGGTGATTTTGATGGCAGTAATCTGTAATGACATCGTTCTTCCTGTTAACATTTTCTTTTCATGAACTGTAGGTTGTGATATTGATCTTCTAAAAGGGTTGGCCAAGATGTTTCCTTTCATCATGTTAGCAACAGAATCAGTTAAGGATGATATGGTATGTTGTTCAAAATTCATTCAGCTTGTTCTTCCAAATGCGAATTGTGAAGATTATTATTAAGGAATCATCATTCTGTGCATAAAAACTTACAGAAGAAATGTCTTCCTATGTTTTCTGGCCAAGGAAATAGTCAATCATTATTTACTGAGACTTCAAAGGGTGATTCCGGATAAGATTATGCTGAGAGCTGGAAATAGCTCATGGATAATTGATGTATCACATTGTGAAGGACATTTGGTCCTTTTCTCTGGTGATGGTTGGGAAGCTTTTGTGCAAGAAAGCAAATTGGCTCCAGGAGATGTAATCCTTTTCAAGTCCAAGACAGCACAAGAAATTGAAGTTTCTGTGTTTGATCAGTACTCGCGTTTCCTGAAATTTCCAGGTAACAAGGATCAATCAAGAGCAGTGGAGTTCTGTTTGAAGTTGGCTAATGGCTATGAGCTAATAACTGTAAGTGTTCCGCTTGCTTTTATGTTAGATACAATCATACAAAGCATATCTGGATGGATGGCTGATAATATTAAGCCATTTACTTTATAGGAACTTCCCGGAAACATACATTTGAGAGACATTTATGGAACTATGTGTAAAGTGTTGCTGAAGACTTGGAAAGGAGAATTTCAAGCTAAAATGAAAATAGGCAATCGAGGGACCAGCTTTTTCATAGGTTCTGGATGGGAAAAAGTTTGTCAGGAGCACCAAATCGACGTGACCAGTCTTATAGTCGTTCGACAAACAGAAAGGTTCAAGTATGACATTGTTGCCTGTAAGATGTTAGAATGCTCTGGCCACATTGTATGGGTGGAAAGATTTATAGGGGAATACCCAACTGATGCAGTACCCATCCGGATGTATCCAGATATCAAGAAAAGGCCAGGTAACAGAAGCTCAGCTATTGATGTATTCTTTTGTCGGCTTTACCTCAAATGTAGGCTTATTTCTATATGCTATTTGTAGGCTTCTTTGCAAGGGAAAATATGAGAAGAAATGGCATCCAGTTCGAACTTCTGATTCAGAAGCACCATGATCGCAACTACATGGTATCTGAGTTTGATTAACAGTAAAACCTTTACTATTTTTTCAAGTACTAAATAACACTCTCTAAATTACATCAAGAATCCAACCTGTGAGAGGTTTCTTTTTTCAGACTGTTCCATCCTCCTTTATAAATCTGTTCGACTTGCGCAAGAAGAAATATGTGATTCTGTGCACGAAGAAAGGCAGGTTTGAGATGCAGATAAAGAATTTTCCAAACATCAGGCTAGTACAGACTAAACATGTGGTCTTGCGCAATGGTTGGTGGAACTTCTACAAGAAGAACAGGCTGAAAGAAGGCTGTGTATGTGTGTTCAAGCTGAATGGACTCGATCATCAGAATACATCTTTGAAATGTGTGATGGATGTAGTGATACATCGGCCTTAAGGTTAATTGTTTACCCAAGTGTTAACAGAATCATCAGATGAATGTAATCATATATCGGCTTTAAGGTTGATTGTTTACTTTAGTGGAAACAGAATCATCAGATCGAAGGCAAAACGGTATGATTCCTTGACTTGCTAGTTTGATGTTCAGATTACGTTTTTAAATCAGCTGCAACCACTTCAGATGGTTTAGTGATGCATAATTTCCTGTGGCTTTTTACACACCAGCTTCTATATTTAGAGTGATCCTCGTGTTCTAAACTTGTTAATCTTATGGTCTTGTTCAAAGAGGAAAAGCTTCTAGTGATTCTCTTTTCAAATATGTAGTGGTTTTCTTCATTAGCATAAGACAGTCAAATTTTTGTTCCATAGAAACTCGGGTTGAGTAAATGCTCAGAAAACAATTGCTGTTGCCTATTCGAAAAGTATTTGGTGGTCTCTCTTTGTTTAAAGAAGGTAATGGTTCTGTGGTATTAAATCCAGAAGAAACAATGCTCTTTCTGTTGAAGCTGCATCACTTTAACACACTTCAACAAGCTAGTTGTAGCCGACGATTTGAAATCTGTTTGGTCCATGGTGTTCCAATATGATGCTAACTCAATTCAGTCCATTTGCTTTGGTGAATCAAGTAACTCAAAGTGCAGACTTCCATTCATTGCAGTTACATAACATAAAGAAGCTAACGGCAACCCTCAATGTTGCTTCAACATGTCGAAAGTTTTTCGTGGCTTTCACTGCATAGTAAATGTGTCTTCAATCTTAACCTTGTGTGTTAATCTGATCTTGCACTTGGATCCTACATTTAAGTGCAGGCAATCTGATATCTGTCAGTTGAGTAGGCCGGTGATCCAGATGACCAGAGTTCAGTAGCTAGTTGTTCTGCTACGAAAGACATAAAACATACTCCCTCGGATCATAATGCATTTTGATTTGTCCTAAATTACATAGTATATTTTTTCCATTGGAAAAAAAAAAAAAAAAAACCGTAAAAGTACATTTCATGTTCTCCTAATTGCTAGAAAATATTTTTTAAGATTTTTTCTTCAATTAAAAAAACATATTAAGTGAAATTTAGGGTAAATTAAAATGCATTATAATAAAGACCGGAAGGAGTATTCATGAACAAGAAACTTTTAGCAAATAGCAATACTCAAATTTGCCCTACTTTGGATTAGTGGACATTGAAACAAGAAACAGTCCATTGATTTCTAAGAGTCGTAGGCTGAGTTTATGCTGTCTCACATTGCTAATTTAACAAGGCTGATTTGAGTTGAATTAACTTGACTTATTGAGTGAGGTTCAGTAAGTCTAATCAAAACTTCAAGACTTGGTACTGAATGTTGCCAACAAAACCTCATTTCTAGCTTTTCTTCCTGTTCGGCACGGCTAATGCTGTCGCAGGGCCAAACGGGTTTGTCGAATTCAAGCGCAAGACCAAAGCTTTGTTGCTGGATGAATTATTCAAACCCCAATTGGCATCCTCCCAGCTGAAGATTGAGCACCAAACTGCAGTAGATAAAATATAGGCATCGCTTGATTTTGCGTCTCTTCAGTTCAACCATCCATTCTTACACCTTTCCTTTATAGATTTATTCCTTTAAAAGTCTAGGAAATTTCCTTTATAAATTTATTCTTTTAAAGGCTAGGAAATAATTAAGATTCGGTCATATTATTCCTTGTAAATTTCCTAATACGTATCACCATTCTTTAAACACCCATCTTAGCTTTCTACCCAACAAATCAGAATGGATCCTTCAACTTCACCTTTACATTCTCCCTCCTTCACCTTTGTAATGTATTCTCCCTCCGTCCCAATTTAATAATTCATTTTATTGAAACAAAATAAGAGCTTGATTGAAAAAAAAAAAAAAAAATTCTTCACTTACCATCAATGTCATTGGAAAGGTTGACCTAAAATCTCCAAAATATAGGTTACAACCTAAGAAGATTCAATACTTGTCTCCTTTTCTTGCATCTTCAGCTTCCCTAGCAATTTGCTAAATGAATGGCACTTATTAGTTCGGTTCTAACATTCAAGCTATTCAGTAACTACGATGGTGAAGACTGGTTAAAACTAGTTGTTTGAGGAGAACATGAACAATCGGAAGACCAGAAAACTAAGAACACACTTTGAGAGTCCAAAGTTATGCCTTCAAATTCATTATCCATACAGTAAGTTTCCTAAATAGATCATCAAAATTCTATGTCGTACCAGGACAGAGTTTCAAGTAAGAAAACAAGGGTAAAAAGCTTAAATAGTAACTCCCATGGCACGGACAATTTCCATTCAGAACCTCTTCGATTTCGATTCACTTTTGGACAGCGTTATCCCTGAGAGTTTGTTGATCTCGTACAGAAGACCAGCAGAAAACAAGAAGCTGCAACAATCAGTGTGTGAGATCAAACAACTAAGTCTAACTCAACAAAGCCATCATGTCTTTGTGGACCTTCTAGCAAATGGATCTTTCAAACACGAGAAAATTCAGTGCATAAGTAATGGATGTTATGCAGGTGAATTTTTGCACTCAGCTGCGACTTTTAAACATGAGAAAATTCAGTGCATAAGTAATGGATGTTATGCAGGTGAATTTTTGCACTCAGCTGCTAATTCGTTCTCAGGAAAAGGCACACTGTTATTATCATGCGCAGACTGATCATTTTTTTATCTCTAATATACATAGCATACTTGATGAGAAATATACTCGAATATACAGAATCCATTTGATAGATAAACAATTCCATCCAGGGGAAAAAGGGCCATATAGAGCAAAAGAAGTTAGCTTATGGTTTTTAAAATTGAGGCCCTTAACAAATGGAAACGAAAACCAGCCATAAAGTTAGGAGAAAGAAATAACTCCATGAAATGAACCCAAGCTAAAGCTTTATCCTAAACCTTTGGGCAGGTTCCTTACATATTATAGCATCTGAATCGTCAGCCACTACTTTATGCAGGATAACAATACTGGAGTTCCTACCTAACGAGTAAGCACCACAATTACTTCCCACTAATAACAACTTATTATGAACAATTTTTATTCTATGACTCCCAAAAAAATGTACGGTGTAAGAACCTCACTCTACCAAATCAATAAACTGTTATCTACGTTTAGTATTTTAGCTATGCTGCAAAATTTTCTTGAATAAACAGGAAATTAGGTGGGAATCCTAGTTGTCTTTGGTTTAGGTTAAGTTTTAAGCCTATTTATATGTACCTCGTATGAGGAGAATATACAGTTTATCAGATTAATAAAATTCCTGCGAGCTTTTGCTTTCAACAGCAGTTGTGTGATACAACTAAAACCTTGGTGTGATGCCTAGGATTCATGCTGTGTGACCCCAGAGGGCCCTAAGAGTGATTCTTAGGTTTTGTTCTTGTTTTATCACTGTTTTCCTGCGATTTCTCTACCTTGTTTCCCAACAGATTCTTTTAGTTTTCCGCTGCGTACTACTCAATAATCAGCCTACAGTCTGATTTCTTAACCACCACGTTTGGTGCTTCAGCATTCATCTAAGAGTTAAAGTCAATCATCATCAATAAGCTTCATCAAAGAGTTAAAATCAATCATCATCAATAAGCTAAAGCAGCCAAGCCACTTACCAAGTTGTGATGCAAACTCGATGAACAGTGCTAGCAGCAATGAGTGCAACTGCCTCAGCAGTTATTACTGCAAAAATACCCAGCACAAAGAGGATGAGAACTCTCCATAAACTAACAAGCAAATTATCACAGAACATTATGCAAACTTTATTATACAAAGGGTAAACGAATAAAGAACACAAACAATCATTGTTTAAGAAGACATATAAGAGCAGGGCTAAAAGAAAACTAACTTGTTACAATCTTACGAGGTTCAACAATTATTATCATTCCCAAGGTAGTTATCCTCTAAGTGAGTTCCTATTCACTTACAATTAGTTTCAGAATTCAAGCTTAAAATCCCTGAACGAATTTCTACAGCTTACAGTGAAGTTCTACCCACTAGTTTTCTTGTGCCTCACAAACGTCATCAACATGCACCTATCTCCAAAAGGAGTTTCCCCCAGTTTAGTATTCAAAGAGCATATTGATCACCAGTTCAAAGAAAACTACAAATTTTAAGCAATTAAAGTCAACAATCTCTGGTCAAATAAACTCTTTTACAAAGTGTGAAGTAATAAATCTGTTTATCATATTTACCTTTTTTCTTTCTTTTTTTTTTGAAAATTATCATATTTACCTTAGTCCTTCAAAGAATTCAACTTCGTCGGCTCAAAAACACTTTCAACTTCAAAAGATGCTGTAATTTTGAGGTTCAAAGTTTGTAGCCATTCTGATTCTTAGTTTGTCTCAGGAAAAAAACTTATAATTCAAAGAAACTCAAATGGAGCAGGAAGTTACTGACTAGATTATACTGTAATAACTGACAAATAAAGACATGAGCACACTTAGATCAGAGGGCCGAACTCACCAGCACCCCAACCACTCTTGACACCAATACTTTCTTGATAGTTTCCAATAAGCTGCATAAATTCAACAAGTAAACATGAAAACCAGACCACTCTCCAGAGTTATAAGTGAACAAGCAACAATCTTGATGTGAAATATGCAATTGAAATGTGAACAACCCAATAATGCTAACCGTTAATCTTTCATAATAACAAATTTGTGCAGAAAGGATTGTTTTTCCTTGATTTCCTGTGGAGGATTACAGCTACTATAGATAATCCATATGAATTTAGCTTACAAAAACTTTGTTCACCAACTCTGCAGATTAAAAATCACAAAATACACTCCATAAAAAGCCTAAATAAACATAATGTAAGATCTCCGGGGATTTGTTTGAAGAACTAGAAATCTCAAAGAATAGTATTGATAATGGTCAAATAAAAATACGTTTTAGGGTACCAAAACTGTCAGATTAATATTTTAGTAAACAATTCATGGAATGTAACTCCAACTTCTCCAACGTTTGAAATTTTGGGACTCTAAAGCCAAGTGTTTCTACTTTTCTTTTCCTTTTTTTGCCTTAATTTTATAAATTTGTTATTCACTCATTAGCTCTTCCTCGTACAACATGAGGGTGAAAATGAATTGTAAAAGTGACAAATTTATCTGGAGATAGAAAATTGAGTACTTGTGAAAATGTTGAAGTCAATCAGTATGAGATACAGATTAACCAGTTTTACAGTGCACTTCTCCTTCTTACTTGTTTCCTGACGTAAAGTGATTGTGTAGCAATTCTTAGAGCCTGGGCCAGTTGGCACTTGTTTGGCCGTGGTTTAACTGCGATGGCCAGGCAGGATGGTTGAGGTGGGGAGGGGAAAGAGTTAAAAAGTATATCTTCAAGTCAGCCAATGCAAGAGTTATCTTTCACATTTAGTAAGTAAACTTCTTCTCACTGTTATATAAGGGGTGTTCAATCCAAAAAGTAGGCCAAAGATCGCCCTCCAAATCAAAGTAAAAATTGTCTACATAAAGCAACTGATAATTGCCAAAATATTATAGTCAAATGATAATCTTCTTCAACTTAAACTCATCATAAAAACTTCAAAGCAAATATGCTTGTATTTTCATTTAAACCAAAAGCCTAAGAAGAGCACAAAAAAACTACTAAATCTACTTCGTGTTTGTAAGTGCAAACAAAGTAAAATTGTATGTAATTTCTCCGATTTCATTATCAGCCAACTGGATTACAGGAATCTGTGCAACACTCAACAATGACATTCCAAAAGGATAAAGTGCGCTAAGGAGATTGGCACAAAAGGCATCCACTCATGACAGAAACCAGATCAAAAAGAACATTTGGAAATAGATTAAGACCATAGGTAGCAAGTTTAATATCAAGACAGACATGTTAAGACAGCTTATCTTTGCTCAAGTTTCCAATAGAAGAGTATAGCATGATATTGGTTGCAACTAAAAACTTTAAGTACAAACTGTAACTTCAATCTAATGGCAATGAGTTGTAAAAAGGAATAAGTAATGGGCTATTTGAAGATATTTAGCAAACAAAACAAAAGAACAAGCAAGTAAAAGTTGCTTTAATTCCCAATCAATCCTCTCAAATGCTTGATTGGGTGCAAGAGAAAAAAAATTTCTTAATCAATAACGGACGAGGTATCATTCATGCTGCAACTGAAGACAATACAAAACAGGTAAATTATCAGCGGAAACAGAGTATTCTGCGAAGCAAGATGTAAAAGATGACAGGAGAGCAATGTTCAAAATTCTAGAAGGCCATCACATGGCATTGGAGAAAATTATGTCTGCAAACATTTCACAAAAGCTAACATTAGCTTAATCTATGAAATGGGAAAACTATGAAGGCTTCCGCTTAAGCTGCAAGAATTGCTGACAACTCAAAATACATGGCAATATCTGTTAGGCCAAAGAAATTCCCCAAAAAAAAAAAAAAGACACAACCATCAAACATTATGAAGATGTCAAGAAAAAATTAAGAGATAGTAAAGACACTTGCTTACCGTCAACAACAGAAGAAATATGATAGAACTAGAAAATCCTCCAAGTATGGTAAACAACTCTGTAGATGCTAATTTGCCTCGATACATTTCTTGCAGAGAAAGAATGGCCACAAAAAGAAGAAAAGAGTACAGCATCGAACTCCCAGGAGCAGCCATGGAATTGGATCTGCCATGCGGAAAGATTTGTGAATTAATGAATCAAAAGAGCAGTCAATGCATCACCACATACATGATTTTGGATTGACAGTTTGAAGAAGATTGGAATAATCAGGTTTACAGGAGAACAAAAATAAATTCAAGTGCCCAAGGCCTGAACTATATTGTTTGGCCCAAAACTAAGTAAAACTAAAATATGTTTTAACCAGAATATTAAAAACAATTGGGACAGCTGCAAGTTGAACATGAATTATGAATCCATTACGGTGAGAACTTATAGAATCTTTGTTTCTTCATTTTTGTATGCTTAACGAAATTACACATGCCATGCATAGTCAAATGAACATGCTGCCATAAATTTCGTTTCAAAGATGCTAAGGATATTCAGACTCTTAAGTGAGCTTGCATTTTAAAAGCAACAAAGTAGCAAACAGAAAGTCCCACGAAATGAAATGAGATCGACATTTTGAAAACTCTGTGTTCCTTTTGATCTTCAGAAGCAGAAGCAACCAAGTTTCCTTCTTTTTAATTACCCATGGTTTATTTATTTATTTCTAATGCACCACCATAGTACTTGGTGACATCCCCCGATTGAATTAATGAGTGGGAAAAATAAAATCACGTGGGTAGTACTTAAGACGTACCCAACATTAATGAGAAGCAGCAAAGGTTCAATTTTTAGTTTGTCCAAGGAAATTAAAGTTGAATGGTACCCCAAATTTCATTCCTGGTGTCACTTACATTGACCTCAAAGATTGAGAGTAAAGGTACAATGCAGATATCTAGATGCCAAATTAAGATGTTACATACTAATAAATCAAAGTTGCAGGATATACGCAATGGCTAAAACATGAGACTGGAATCATCGCCCCATTGATGGTTTTCCAGGGCCCTCGTACTCACAATTGTGTGTGGTAAAGACAAGTAACCACGCTCATTTCAAGCGTTTTAAGATCAATGCTCATTTCAAGAAATGTTCTCCATTGACACAAAGTCCAAAGTCTTATACTAACAGAACTAAGAAAAATTGATCATGCTGGATAGAAATGAAAGATTCAACAAACTAAACCCGATGAAATCATCAACATAGAACCATAAACCCAAATGCAGTAGTTAAGGACATAAAATCTCATTCCTACTACATAAGCGAACCTTCTTCCAAGTCCAAAATTTGGAAAATACACTAAACACTACAGTTTACATCCTCCAAACTTTTGATTTCCGCAAAAGCTTTAAACTAGAAACCCAAAAAAGGAAAAGGAGGAGAAATAATGCCAAAGGCGTTCAGTAAGATACTCAACTCTGAGTAAATGAAAGACAAAAGGATTCGATTTCAACCGAAAAATCAAAACTTTCTGTCGAGTTCAGGAAAAAATAAGCTGGAATTCTGCTTCAGAAATTAAATGAATCAATCAGATGAGAAGTGAAAAGTACAGGTTACCTAACTCTAGATCGATCGGAGTGGCGATAATCGGCAGCGGCCACGGCGGAATGGGCGGAGGAGAAAGGGCAGTGATTGGATGGAGACTGGAGTGCAGCCTCGATGGTAAATTTGGTTAGGAAAACAATGTTTTGACTTTTGGGAATCGATGTAGGAGTAGTTGATTTTGTGAAGGTGCTGACTGTCAATACAGATATTGGTCAAAACTTTTTACCCCTATAATGCCCAGTGTTTGATAAAATTCAATTAGGTTCTCTCAGTGCGTATTAAAATATATTATTATAAATCGATTTTTAGTTATAAAAAAAATTTCGCGTATTCCATTAATTGTTATTCTGATATATAATATAAAAAAATAAGCCAACTATAAAAAAGAGCAAAAATTTTAATAAGTGTTATTAATATTATTATAATTTGAATTTCCTTGAATTTGAATAAAAGAAAAAAGTTTTATTTGGATTTTTCTTCTAATTCTTCGGTGAAAAATTTAAATTTTTTCTTTTAATGAGATTAGCATTTAAGTGACTATACTAAATTTAAATATAAGAAGAATGTGTTATAAAATTAATGCTAAATTACTAATATGAAACTAAGTATGAGAACAAGTGAAAGAGAGTAAAGAGAGATAATAGACATGTATTCATATATCTTTTGAAGCATGAATGAGTATCCTATTTATACAAAAAGTAGGTGATCAAACTGTGAGAAATGAATTACCTATCATTAATGCTAAATATTACAAAATCATATCTCCTTGATTGTGAATAAAATAATACATATTAATTGTAGACATTCAATCAAATCAAATCAAATATTTCATAAAACTCCCCCTTTGAATGTCCATATTTGGAGAATAATGCCTCGTTAAAACCTTAATACGAAAAACCCTTTGGGATAAAATCCTAGTGAAGCAAAAAGAATACACTTCCGAATGTGACACTGTCTCGTTAGAAACTTTGTCATGAAAATCCATTGGGACAAAACCTCGATCAAGGGAAAAAGAGTATAACGTGGGTTACTCTCCCTGTTAAGTACGGCACTTGTAATCTTCTTGTCGCATGCCAAGCTATCGACCAGTTTAAGCCCATAATAGACAGATTACTTCGACATGTACACGGTTGTCTTCATATACCTGTATAATCTTGAGTGTTTTATAATAATGGAGATGCATTACCATCAAACCTTGAAGGTATCAATATACAACATCCAAGTCTTGGCAAATTGATTAGATAAACCGAAACTTTATATGGTACTTCAGCACCAAATCGATCTACATCATTAATAGAAAGTCAAGAAGAATGATCTATATGCACATCAAGATTTTAATCAAGTGCGCTCAATGGGTGTTGGATATACAAAAGTCAAATTATTTAGACCGAGATTCTACTCAAGATCTTTCATTATCCTTACTTCAGGCAAGTAGCAAACTTTTGAACTTCCTTAGAAGTGCTCATAACTACGATATAACTCGTCAGGAGTTTTATTTATATTCAGACTAATCGAACTTCGTGATAAGTTTCGATAATATTCAATCTTTTGAAACTCTACAAGAGTTCGGTGCTAACAAAATTGTAAATGCACATATGGATTATGAATACTCACTCTAGTCTTAGTTAGCATCCTATCATTCAAATCAATAGAAAATCATGTTACAAACAAACATAACATATCTAGATTAAAACAAACATAGCATATCTATTATATTCAAAAATATGAACCTAATATCTAGATACATGAAGATACTATAACCTACGCAAGTCTTTTGAACTAATTTCTCGAGAATTGGGAATCATGTCCCTTTTTTAATCATTCGGGGATTTCATATAGACGTCATTATTAAATATCAAGTATCACATATTAATTGATCACTATATTCAAGAGACGCATTTCTTATCTTCATTCGCTACCATATTAGCAAATAACGGAAGATTTTCTTTTTCATCCACTACAAGATAAACCAGACTTTGGGAAAACTTGTGCAACAAAGAGGTTGCTCGATAATCTTTTGCATAATCGCCCGCCAAAATCTAGCCGGTATATCACTTGCCAAACTTCTAGTTCGCAAGCAATTTCAATTCTAAGTACACATCGTCAAGTGTGTATTACGTTTTTTCATTTGTTGTGGCCAATAACTTTAATGTCTGCATCTACAACAGACTTTCATTTCATGATCCTCATTTTCATTTATTTTACTGCTGTAGCATAAGCAATTTTCATGTCAACATTTTATTGCTGATCGATTCCAAGTTCTTTGGTAATGAGATCTCACAATCATTAAGTTTCTCAAGTATTCATATACTTCTTCTGGAAGTTAATTCACAACAATGGAAAACTATTCCAGTTCAAAATTCTTATGAATTATAATTACTCGTATTGCCATCTTTATAGATTTAAACCTTATCATTTACAAGGATTTTTATTATTTAGAATCGATGGTTCTACCACTCATCAAATGGACATTCAACTAACAAATAGCGGTAGGGTAGTCCTTCAGGGACACATTATCAGATTCTAAGTTTAGTAGCCTTTTATACAAATATATTTATACATTCGATCAGGTAAACATCTGGTCTTAAACATTATCTCTTGAACTTCAGGTTCATATCATCGAGGATCATAATGAGATAATTACATTGTCCATCTGATTTTATAAATAGGCTATTTTAACTCATCCCTCTGATGTTAGGATAACTAACTCGCTAAAATGACAATTAACCAACCGAGCAGTTAATAATCTCACTTTTGAGAGTAACTAACTAGTCAAACTAATACGATCAGTTCATCGAGTAGTTAATCCAACATATATTTCTAACCTCTTATGGAGGCTCCATCTTTTTGTGCATTTTGGTGGAGTAATTATAATATAATATGCACATATAATATTCGAAGATGGATATTTTTTATTTCTGACCAAAAAATGTAGGGAAGAATATCTATAATGACATGTTTGGTCTTATGCATATAATTGGTGCCTTTTGTGTTTCAACACTTTCTCAATTATAATGAGGTAATTATTTTAATTGAACATATGAAAGAAACGATTCTACTAGACCGTTTCATTATTGCTTTTATAGGCACTCAATTTTCAACTTTTATCATTCTGGTATTGAATCATACACTCACCATAATTGTCAAATCAAAATTCTCGTAAGAACAGAACACAAAAATCTGCACGTTACCAATTTAACTCAATAAAATTTCTGCAAGCTTAAGGTTGCATGCTAACGAGAACCATACACTCATCGACACATCGATTGACACTCTAATTCGTTGGAGGAAATTCTTGGTTCTCCAAATTTAAAACACATAAACTTGCTTGTTTCATCTTGAAACCAGAATGATAATAATAGTTACGCCAAATTTTAGATTTTCTCTTCTGGAGAAAGCAACGAATTAATTATTCAACTATACAAGATCAATTTCACTGCACATAAGCATTCACTTTGACTAAGCTTGTCTACTCTACAAGAGTATTTGTTATTCAGTTACTTTAATTCTACCACGAGTGTTCTTGCTCTTCTGGAGCATACATATAATCTTATTGAGATATTTAGTAACTGATGCTCCACTGGAGCATTGGTTTTATTCAATTATATATGCTCTTTTGGAGCATGTAATGACAACGAAAATTCAATGATTTGTTTCCTTGTGTACTTTCATGCCACAGTTTACAATTGTCATGTGTGATTTTTGTTTCTCTTTCTAATAATTTTCTTAATAGTATTTTTTCACTTTTGGTGGATCATAATATTTTTGTCACAACGCATGCATGTGGCTATAATTGCAATGCGATCGGACTATTTTTGTTCATTGTGCACAGCCCCGACTGTCCTTATTGATAACTATATTGTTGGCGCATTCACTACAGGCATTCACTTCAGGGAATGCAGTTTGGATGAGTCCAATAATTTTCTCAACAAAAGACTCAATAGTACTTACTAGCTTGGATTAGTTTGTTTAATACTAACAAGAAGATAAATTGTTACTTCAGAAGCAATTTCTACTTATTCTTGTGATTAATCTTCCATTTTGGGTGAAAGATTATATTTTACTTGTGACAAATATAATAGTAAAGATTTATTGTCTACAATGGAAAAAAAAAAAAAAACTTCCACGTGCTTCAGAAGTAGAAAACTCCCAAATTAAGGAGTCTTGTGATTTCTCTGAGCAAAACTATATTACTATGTTTAACAAAAACAAACTACTCATGCAAACACAGATTTGCTCTTCACCCGAGAGTTTGCATAGTGACTAGAATATTATTGTATATTAGTTGTAGACATTCAATAATATTAAATAAGATCTTTTGATAACACAATAGCATACAGTCTTTAAATTTAACCAAATACATCATCATATAGCACCTACATATAGCCATGGTATTAAACTAATCAAATTTACATAATCAAATTGCTCGTGCATACAATGTGTACTAATCAAAAAACATATCACAAAAGACAAATTAGTTTTCTTTTTGGGTCCAAGCAGAACTTGCGAACATATGCTACCTATGTTTGGAAGGTTTTTTGAATATTTTTTTGTATTGGGAATGTAAAAAGATATATTGAAAATATAAAAAGGTGCATTGGGAATGTAAAAAAATATGCTGTGATAGGATAGATATTAATTAAAAGTTTTGAAAAAATGAATGAAAAAAGGAACCAAACATCAAGTAGATCAAAAACTTCCGAGAACCAAAACAAAAGTTTAATAATCCTTTTCCAAATCGATAAACAGAGGTGTTTTTTTTTTTTAACGTCAACACTGTTAGAGAAAAGAAAATTTTAATTAGGTCGGCGATTTTTAAAACAAAACGTGATTAGATTCATAAGTGGAATAAGATCCCGTAATTCTGTTCTCTACTATAAATATAAAATACATAGGAAATCATATTTGTGTAAGAAAAAAAAAATCTCAAAGCATTACTGCAAAACAGAAAGATGCGCACTTCTTCAATAAAAAATTTCTAGAAGCTTTCATCATCATTAATCATGAAATATGGCAAATTTTGAACCACAACATGGATGTTAAAAACATTAAATAGAACCAGCTTTAACTACAACCTTAAACCTCACCCGACATGGTTTTAAAATAATTAACACACCAATTCCAATAAAACAAAGTTGTGAATATTGATTATGGAGAAGAACCTACTTGAAATATCAAATCAAATATACAAGCTATGCAAAAATATTGCATTTAATAATCACATAA